TACTTTTGACACCCAGAAACACGCCACCTAACCTCAAAAACGTTTGAACATGCGCAGACGCTTGACCGCTTTGTTTCTTGTAGCCAGCATCTCAATGATTATCGACTTGACAAACAGTTTGTAGATACCAAAAACCAATTTGAAACACTGACTACAAGTACAAGAGTTCTCCGTTTATTTTGATATTCTTTAAGAGCAATTTATATTTCATCCAAAATTTTGGCAATGGCTAAGGTTCATTTATGCTTTATGCGAACAACGAGGAGTGGAGAAAAACGTTGTCGCCAAAGCTAAGGTCGTTTTTTCTTGACTGCGTTTGACTTTGTTAGTATTCATTAAAACAATTATTCTATAAAACTCCGTTACGCCGCATGTTGGTAGATTCAGTCAAAGATGTAGGTCCAGGATTAGCATTCAAGTGCAAGATCTGATCATCCAGATTTTAAGGTTCTCTCAAAGAGAAATCCGTTGTCGGCTTCTATGACTAAATCAGTTTCGAAAACCGGAGGAGTTAAGTCACTGAATGAGCAGAAAACTTCGTGAGAGCCTAAATGGGAAGGCCAGTTAGGCGCGCTAAAGATAGACTTTTGTTTCAAAAAAATTAATAGATATTTGCGTGCGACATATATAGAAGATATCACACGGTGGAGAAATAGGAAAATACGGACTGCGCTAAGAACCAATCAGATTGCAGGATTCGTTACCGTACCCTCTAAGTAAAAAATAAATGAATTTTGTGTTGAGTGACAAGAACAATACTTCACGAGTGAGCACAACAAACGAGTGAGATATTGACCACTCGTATTAAAAAAGAAAGATAAGCCAGTCGGTTCCTGGATGTAGTGGTCGTATTGATTCTACGATTTTTTTTGTTCCCATTTCTTCAAATTATCTTTTCAATTTTTTTTTCGCTTATTGATTTTGTTGGAACAAATAGTTACATCTCGTTACTGAGCTATGTATTTGTGGCTTTTCCACTCACCGGGATATTCCAGTCAATACTGAGGTTGATTTTTGATATGATATTGAATGCGAACAAGACAAATACGGCGATCACAAGAAGCCATGACGTCACAGTAACAAAGAGGAAGAAATCCATACGTGCCCTATGTACGACGAAATGCTGAGCTAGAATTGCGAACACATCAGCAGCTATGGCGAACGCCAACATCAGCGTGAACTGTAGAGATTTAAGTAAAAATAAAACTTATTGCTTATTGAAATATGCAGGCATGGATTTCATCAAGTTTAAAAGTCTTAGTACCCAACAAACTTAGTAGGTACATGTATATAATGGTGTATAGGGAATAATGGTAAATACATGGCCCCAGGTGGATAACGCTATCCAATGGTTAGATCTCTATCCAGCGCAGTCCTTTTTATTAACACTTATCCATCAGATAGCGTTTTATTGGCTGGTCAGCGTTATCCGCTTCTTATATACCAGACTCCTAAAAGTGACTAGTATCTAATTTCTCCCTACAATATCACCCCTGAATCACATATTAAGGTCACGAGAATAAAGGAAATGATCACCATATAAAGAAGCTCTTGATTGTTCGACAAATTCTCCTTTTCAGCACCTTAGGAAACATATAAAGAACAGTATGGAGAATATGCATATTGATATCGAGTTGTAAAGGATTAAGCCTCAAATTCAGTGTCTTCCTATTAGTCCTCATTAGTCCCCCTCCACCCTCTCCCGCCTTTCATTCGCTACAAAAATGACTCAACACACTTGACGGAAGTACTTACAAATTCAACGATCTTCAGTATTCCAGGAATCGAGATAATATACGACATAGTTAGCCCGATATCCCCAGACGCCCGGGCCTCGTGCGATCTAACTTTAGTATATGGGTTCTCAGGAATTTTCATCGTTTATCTGTTCTTCTGAAAATTTAAAATTGAGAGATGTTTTCTGTTGGACTTTCTTTACCATAAACACTCTAATAGCAGCTTCACCCTAACAGCAGCCCCTCCTCTTTCTCAGATTTAACTAGTGATTTGTTATACGTTTGCGTTGAATTGCAAGCCATCAAGTTGTCGTATACAGTTGCGAAAGCTCTTTAATACAGTTTTGAAAGCTCTTAAGCTCAGTTTTGAAACAAAACGGATCGTTTAACATCTAAGGTTACTTCCCACCGTCAGAGGCCGCAAAAAAGCGATTTTCTCTTATTTCAAAAAACTGAATTCAAACATGAAACCTTATGTTTC